ATTTCCTCACAGCTTAAAGATCTCTCATTTTGCAACATATCTTGGACAGGTGGCCTTTTATAATCATTTTCAGACAAAACAATATTTTGTATTCAAAGCAGCACAGGAAATTATATTGTGCTCTATACTGCGCTCCTCCTTTCTTGCAATCGAAGGGCCATTCCTGTTTGCCTGTTATGAGAGTATTGAAGCTATTCGATCTGGGGTACTACGATAAATACACTTTCTCTAGTGCAGCACATGCCAGTTTAAACTACATCCATATATTCATGGGGGCTGGGCATCTAATAAAACTTTTAACCCGATTAATCGCCAGCCTTTAATCGATTAATCGGTTTTGTTAATTCCCCTGCATAATAGATTTAAAAAAGTCAAAACTACATGTCTCACCTTTGCTGACTATGTGATAGACGTCGAAATGTACAATTCCAGATTTTAAAGCAACCTTAATGTGGAGCTCAGAAGGCTCAAAGGACACCCAATATCAAAAATTTTTACTTCGGCCACAGAGGCAAAGAGGTTCATTGATATTCTCCGGCCACAGCGAACTCTTGTGGTTGTACACAGTAGTCACTGCTACGTTAAAGAGGCACTCGCACGGCGTTCCATAGGCTGGGACACGTAAAACCTTCTACACTTGATTGGAGATAAAAGTCTCACAATCGCGAATTTGCTTTAGGTCAAAATTTTTCATAACGTTTGACTAATACAAGTGTACTCGTCCATGTCTGCGTGGTAAAAACGCCGAAGAATTGCTTGTTTCGTGTTTGTAAAAATGTAACGCTTAAAAAGTAATCACAATCAAAGCATTAAGCGATTAATCGGTAGGTTAGTCGATCAAGGGACCAGCCCTAATAATTATCACTTTCAGCACCGAACAAAGGTAGCATTCCCAGGTTCCCACTGATAGTGCCTACATACAAGACGTTTTAGGTAAAGATTAAAATACAACGTTTTAAATTTATGAGGTGATTGGAGAAATACTCAGAAATCACAAGAAACAATCTTTAGTTGTACCTCTCGCTTACATTTTAGTTTTAAACACGGAGTATGAATAGGAACCGTTTATGTGATGAGCATAATGCTACAAAAAAGTAACAAGAAGCATAATACACTTACACCGGGGTAACAGAAGTTAATAAATTGATTATTAAAATTCATCATGCGTTATTTATAATGTCAAAATTACACGCCTTCCGCAACAGGGTTAGAACTCTAGCAACATCGATCGATCAGCTGTGCAACGCACCACCTCTGCAGTAGCCGTACTTTTTTTATTCCTGCACCAGCTAGACGACACAAATAGAGCACTTATAGATGCTACATATGAATAATCAGAGAACGTCGATGATAACATGACAGCGTAACGAAATCACACGACCTCATCATGCAACCGCATGATTGCATCGGACAACGTGTTGATATAGGCCCCACATATAAACATAACACAACTGCAGGCTTTGCCGTTTCCAGTGTATCTAGATGACTCCTTGAACACAAATAGATACGAACCATTCGACGGCGTACCGTACGCGCTTTAAACAACCGTACGAACGCCCAAAAACAGTCACCTCGACACCAGACTATATTTCGATGCAAATTAATTATAACGGCCAAACTGGAAAGTACATCATGCGCCGCTGTCGGCCTAATTCAAAAAAGTTCAGAAATGAACACTTAGTGCAACAGAAAACTCGCTGCACCTTCTGTAGCTCGCAAGGTTTACGTGGGACTAAGGTACCTTTTTTTTTTACATCTACCCAAACATTTGTCTCAACTCTTCGTACGAGGAATTGTAGAAGGAAATAATTTTACATAGAGTGCGTTAATTTGCAGGGAAAAAACACAGGGATATACGCTATTTATATTTGAGAGGAAATTTGTTTTGAATTTTAGAAAAAAGAAATGCTGAAAACTAGAAATATAAACGTTTGCAAATGAAATGTGTTACCAGACTCAAATAAATGTTACCCAACCACTAGCCTAACCTAAGCGTGACGCTTATATTACAGTGCATAATACTTAGATATTCAGATACATCACATTTTTGTGACACAATTCAAAGTATAATTAAAAGCAGTTACGAATTGTTTTGTCCTGGTCGTAACAAAAAGATTAAATCAGAGGTAATTGCAATCAGCAAAGTGGTTCCAGCAAAATATTTCCGCCGCTAATGTTCAAAACAAATGGAAAATCAACAGACATTCGGTGAAAATATGAAAGGCGGTATTCCACACAATTGGGGTATTAAATTAATGCTTGCAAATTTGAAAACATCACTGACAGTATTTTCAGTTAAAAGGTTCAGTGCTATGACAACATTAATCAGAAGTAATAGGGACATATCCCTCAACATTTAATACTAAAATAGTAGGCAGACTCCAAATGTTGTGGTTCCTGAAGCCCGTGAAGGCGAGATGGTTATGATCGCTTACCTGCAGACAGAAAAAGGCACAGCTGCATTGCCTGTGGCATTGCTCTTTTTTTTTATATTGTCACCTCTTGCGTTTTAGTCGTAAGATCTTTCTGGTCAATTAATACAAGTATTCTATTTTGAATCGCTTTACAGAGAGCTACGCGTCTATTCACATCTTTTGTTTTCTTGAAGTAGGGGCCTCGCTGTGCAACCTAAAAAAGGAATAAGCAGCGATCACTGCAAACTTTAATATTAACGGATACGGTCTAAAAATCTGAAAACATCCTTGAACGTCCGTTGGAGAAAGCGCCTATTTAGCGCTGCCGCTTCTATAGCCGCAGACCAATCATTTTCATTCGTCCTTTTCTTGCTTCAAGTTTTCTCTTGAAATGACGAGCCAATTTGACGGGACAATATTTTCGTTGGCATGACAAGTTGACACCCGTCGATAACAAAGGAAAGACGGATTGCAGGTGTCGAAGGTTTGTTTTTGAAAATACCGGGAAAACACCGGCTTTCGTGGCCTAATATATTCAATACCTGCTTTGAAGATAGAAAGAAATATCTTAGGCAGAACAATATATTTGTTCAATACTTAGCAATCGGCTTCACCTATGCAAGTATCTTTTTGTGAGAGTTATTATAACTGTGGAACCGTAAGTTCAGATCTGCATTAAAAGCAATTTTCTCTCAAAAAGAAACTTTATTTCGAGTGGTACGCGTACTCATCTGTATAGCTATGAAACACTTCTTAGCAATTTCCTCTAGGTTTAAAATAAATCTAAAATCAGCAACATGTTCTTTTTTGTTTTGTTTTTTACTGTGGTAGGTGTTTGCGGGCCTGTCGACACAGTGAGAAAAAAAAAAGAAGAAAAATGTTCACTTTAGGAGTGCTGCATTTGAATGATTACATCATTTTCTATTTAAATATTATATAAAATATGCCAGTGAAACAACTATGTGTATGCTTATCAAGAATATAAGGATCATTATTTAATAAATACCAGCGTAAACACAACTGTCTATTAAATTTCACATTTTCCGGGTAAATAAACACCAGATGAAAGTAGTATAATATGACTTATCTACGGTGTTGAGAATAATTTTTTTTTTAATTTTAACGATATTTTATTTTGTTTCTCAATGTGAAGCACAATTGTCCTTGAAAAACTACAGTCATTTGGAATATTCTCCCTTTCTTCCTATTTCTTTGTACCAGCGCTTCTTTCCAGGTTGAATACAGCGTGAGTACTTGCAGACGCCTTCGCGGTATCTTGCCTTAACCTTGGAAAAGTACAAAGAAATTCGAAGTACAGTTATGAGAGCCGTCACTTTATACTCTTGACATCACGTTTTAAAAGGTTCAGTAACAAAACGATCGTATCTGAGTTACAGTCAGATAACACTGTGACAACCCATGACACTGACGTAACGTGGCATCGTGAAGTCAAATGACATCGTGACGTTACATCGTAACGTCACGTCACATGACACCTCCACATAACTTGGCACTATGACGTCGTGTGACAGTAGTATTCCACGTGACCTAATGTCGCGTCACGTATCCATATTAGGTAATGTCATGTTACCACGTACTTTCGGGGTAGTCCCATAAAACTGGGCCTTCATAGTGTCACATTATGTGGTCACTGGACGTAATGGCACGTGATACCGCAACAATATGACGTCATAGAGCATGTATAAGTGCTATGCATTTAGAGCACCTTTAGGATACAGCAAAGTGAGAGGTGGTTTATTTTTAACCTGGCGATCGAGTAGAAGGGTTTTTACTTAATAGTCTTTTTTTCTGCATCCTGTAATAAACTTAGATGTTTCTTCACGTATAGAAATATGCGTGTCTTGTGGGTGACGGTGCTTATAAACAACCGCACTCCCCGTATTTAGAAATGCATATTTGTGAGCCAGTAGCCCATGCCTTATCATACATAGTAAATGCAGCATGTGGAAACCCACAAATCTAATGAACCAGCAGGAATCTTAAAGGCAAATAAAATGGCATCCTTTTTGACAGATTCCAATTCCTCTTGACTTCATCCTTTTTTTTTTGTTCTTTCTTTTTTTTTTGTAGAAGTGATTTAATTTGAACAAAATAGCTCTAACCTGAAGTGATCACCACAGTATAAACCTGTAGCTAAAAATAATTTTTTTTTATCATAGTCTCTTTTAACGTTTTTCTCTTCAACGATACTACTTAAACATGTTTTTGCTGTTCTTTTAAGTGAGATATTTAACAAGGTAATATTTCGAACAAGCCTTTTGCATGCTACCAAGCTTCTTATATATGTCTGCCCAAATTTAGCACTAGAGCCGTCGGAAAATAAGCACAAAATTTCTTTAGAGGGCAGTGGTGTGCAACGGTTAAATGAGTTTTAAAATTTGATAAGTTTATCTCAATACCGTAAAAACTATTTTTCGCGCTATTTTATGTGAGACACATGAAATTATGTAAATCTTTTTCATATATTCGAGGCAGCTCAATGTACTTACACGACACCGCACCCCATTCCTTTCGGGCCTCCTGTAAACTCGGTAGCGCTCTTCGTCAAAGCAGTAGAACCAGCAGCGCGGCATTGGGGCTGTCTTATTCGATGGCTGCAAACAGTGTACATTATTCGAGGGAATCTCGACATTATCACAGCAAGGACTCGCTGGAAGTAAAAACACCAACTTAGAAACAAAGACGTGCCAAAAACAGCGCACAAGCATAGAAAGAAGAAAATAAAACACACGAAAGAGCGCCGCTCTTTCCTGAGTTCTAGTTTCTTCCTCCTGTGAACGTGCGCTGTTTTAGGCATGTCTTCTAAGTACCAGCTAGCTCTACTCTATACGCTACTATAGAAACAAAGCACACAATCTGAGGCTCCCGGTAAGCTTGTTACCGTTAACTTGCCATATACTGACACAAAGCACTCAAGGAAAGTGCCGTAGATCTCTAGTTTGCATTACAGATTGTGCATTTTGAGCTCGCCTATTTCTGCCATACTGGTATAAATGAGGCGCGTTTTTCGTTTTATTAATTTCTTAAAAGCGTCTGCTGTCTAGTGTAGTTTTTATGTGTTATTTCGGGATACTTTTACCTCAGCTCTTCATTAACTTATACGAACAGGGTTGTAATGCACGCCAACAAAAATACAACAATAAATGAAATAGAAAAATTACTTAATTGAAAGCAAAATATAGACGATAATTTCATTCTCATTTAAGACGTAGCTGCGTCAAAAAAAGGTTTTAGGCATTTCGTCCGAAACAGACCTGCTTAAAGAAAAATAAGCGTCTACTTCTCCTTTTATCTCTTCGTGTGGCAGAATGAGTTCCGGTGCGTAAAAGAGTTTTTTTTTGCGCCAACCGCTAAGTAGTAGATTAGATAAATTCCACAAATATAAGTTAGATTCTTAAATGTGTGTCGGGATTGCACGGGAGTCATACTTTCCGAATGGCAAATATTTCATTCGCTCATTTTGCCAAAATAAACGCCGCAATGATTATGACTTCTAGCAAACTCAGTTCATCCCAAAAGAAAATAAATTTTTCTTTATAATCTTTCACTCCGGTTGAAGTCATAATTCCACATTTCTACTAAAGCATGCACCATCCAATTTAACCTGAAATGGACAAGAATACATAGACACAAAGCTAGTCCAGTCCTGTTTATATTTTTCTGTCTTTGTTCTTCGAGATATGTATGGTTCATAATTCTTATCCGAGTAGCCCACATTAATATTTTACTCTAAATTATATTGTCATTTGTTAACAAATCGACTTATGTGATCCCTCAAAGGGCGGCCAGCACGTCATTGGTCTCGCTGTATTTACAGGTTTGGCTTTAAAATTCAGCGAGATTGATTTCACCCTCGAGGTACAAGTTGTGATTACACAAGGAGTAGATAGAGAACATCGCCAGAAATTAACACTTGCCAAAAACGTGAGTACGTTGCACATATCGTGCAACGTAATCTTGCGGCACATTAGTAAAAACACTTTGTTTAACGATAAAACTCAACCAAAACTAGCCCATGCTTCAGCTGTAAGTGGTCCTGTAAGTCCATAGCTTCTAAAGTAGCTCGTTCCTCCTAGTCTGCCTTAGTATGAATGACCCAAGATACTCAGCCGCTTAGTACTGAGTGACTGAGTGTTCCAAAAACGTGAGCCAGAGGAAAAACAAAAATAAGCACTTAGTTATTATTGCTTCATTTCAGGTTCACGTATTCGTATTAATTATGTCAGAAAAGTCATAAGCTCGTTTATTGCGTACCCCTTGTTTTGAGCATGGCAATATATAAAAATGTTCAATGTGTATCATCCCCATAAAGGTTTTAATATATAAACTGCGTTATTCGGTCCTCGGCCAAGAAGAAGTGGTTTGAAAGCACTTTTTTTAATCCATATCTTGTGACGTTATTGGTATTCGTAGTCAAGGTATCCGTCCTTTTTTCCTTATACTTGTCACATACATACTATATCTGGGTAGCAAATAATGAAGGATTAATAGTGGTTTTCGGCATATCTAGACGATTACTCATCCTAGGTTAGTAAGAAGCCTCCGTTTTGTTTAAAGGCCTCAGCATATTTGCAGCATAAATCAATCGTACATTTTTATTCCATGCTTCTTTTTTTCACTTTGAAGCGCTTTATATTGTCAAAATGCTACATGTAATTTTACTTAAAAGGACATTTGTTATTGCAGCTTCTCCTCCGGTGTTATAGGCACTAAATTGTTAAAGCTATGCATACCTGCGCTCCTAGACGTTGACAGTGGCGTGCTTTGTGGCCTTTTCTTTTCAAGTGTACAGTAATTCCTGGAATAAAAAAAAAAAAAGATATCGTTCCCGAGTCACATCCCTACGAGGGACAGGCACGTATTCAGGGAGGGAGGCTCATGGAGCCCTTGTCTCCCCTCCCTCAGCCCCGAAATCTTCCATTTTGCAGGGGCCTCCACTCCACCCTCCCCCACATACAGCATTTTGTCATGGGGCCCCTCCCCCCCCCCCCCGAAACAAAATCCTTGCTACTTGCCTGACTAGGGACAATCGCTGACGACTGAATTGTATTTCAGATTAATATTTCCAAAGTCGGCTCAACATAAACCAGTCACAAGTTGTATGGAGCTACGTATTTACATCGCCATAACATGCCGAACCTCAATTGAAGTCTACAGTCAGAGCTAAGCTATTCACTCCATGAAGGGTAAGAAAGCTCTAAAGTACATACAGGCTTCCTTACGTGTAGGACGTATACCTGACATCTCGAAAACATCTATATTATGCCAACTGCCAATAAAGGTATAATGAAAAAGGAACGTGCGGGAAGCTAGAGATAGCTTCTGATTCCAGTAACGGGAGAATAAATACGTTATACTAAATTTGTTTTTCTGGCAAGAACGGGCAACTGAAAGTGTGGCAGTGGTAAAACTTTTATTATTTTGGAATACGTAACATTGCTGAGTATGGGTTTAACGACGAAAGAGGGCCGGGAAAGGGCGGGGGGGGATGTTGGAGGGACACAAAGATTAGGTACGGCCATTACGACATCTTAATTCATCTGAGAATATGGGTTTGCGGAGCGAAGTGAGAACCTTGTTTATTTCTTCTGATCCACCTAAAAACTATTGTAGCAGTGGTTGGCTTTTATTCGTCTTTTGCATGAAAAATTAATTATATCATTTAGATTATCGCAAGGCTTAAAGATATCGACGCCGTACTATACTTGCGTTAAAATTACACGAACTACTTTGTGATATTGAGAACTAATTAAACTGCAGCTAACTTTTAAATATTAAAAAATAAATTTACAAATTCAGTAGTAGTATTTTCTGCTTATCAAGCAGTGCAACATTTGTTCTATAAATACTATATTATTTTTGAATTTGCGGAACCATAATATTACCCAGCAAAGAATTGCACGAGATAACACAACTCAGAAACAAATCGGATATAGATAACAACGTTACCATTTAAAACAAAAACAAAACTCAAGTTGTATGTTACAGAATCTCAACTAGTGGGTTTTCTGTGGCAATAAGAACAAATGATGGTCCCCTTCAATGAAAACTGAAAACGCGGCACTCAGACGTTTTGACATCGAGCTCAGACTAGGACAGCCATGATCGCAGCCGTATTATCATCGATTATCTTCGGAAGATCGATATACCATATGAGTAAGGTTCCGTGTTTTCTGAGCTTATTTTTCATAAAATTCGGAGGGTGTCTTGGGGAGTTTATTTTTCGCTTGAAATTTGGAGTGGTTCGCAGTTTATTTTTCGTTGGAAACTCGGAGTTTATCAGATTTTACTTTTTGTTAGATTCCCAATCCTCTTGAATTCGAAGATTAATTTTACTAAATTCCAGTTTCTATTCTTTTTTTTTTGGTAATGCAATATAAAAATGTGTGTTGATACAAACAGTACTATAAATTTACAAAGGAAAGCGCACCTGTATCGAAAGCTATTACTGCAGCTACATTTTGTATAGGCTTTCTTGTACTTGGAAGCATTAACTGAAAAAACGATAAATCTTGCAAGCAAGTACGTAGCATCGATAAAAGTTGGTAATTTGAAATAGCCAAACTCCTAGAAGGAGTCGCTGGGAAACACTGACATTTCAACTGCACCCCAACCACCTATCTGTTAGATTCACATAATTTACTGTTATAAAAACACAACCACTCCTCTATCTAGAAAGCACAATAGTATGGTCAAACTGAAAACCGGAGCAGTGCTTTTGACACTGTACATTGACCCGTTATACTGAAAAATACCCTGACGGAGAAAAACGAAAAACTTTCTCATCCATTTCGTCGTTTACCCTGAGACTGGGTTTTTTTGTTGTTTTTTTTTGAAGAGCAGAAGTAACAGAAAAAACAGACAGGTCTTCTGCTTACTTCCGCTCTTCAAAAAAAAAAAAAAAACAGTCTCAGGGTAAACGACGAAATGCTTGACTTCCACCAGCTAGCCTGTACTTTGACTCTTTTCTCGAAAAACTTTCGTTTGTCAAAAATCCTAGAATAAACGAAACAAAAGAACCGATGTGGCATGTCCCTAGGACTAAAAACTTCTTGATCTGACAAACTTTATTCGTAGTCTAGATTATATCATTTTCGCTCCAATAAACAAACATGATAATGCTCCAGTAACTCTATATTTCGGAAACACAATTATAAGCAAGCCCCCGAACAAAATGGTTGTAGGCGTTTGGTTTAACCAGGAACTTAGCTGGAATACACGTGTAAATAAGTTGACTGCCGAGCTCGCAATTGGATGTTTGTATAAAATTTTAAAAAAAACTTGATCCCAACATGGTTAAACAAATATTTATATATATTACTCTCTTTTTTACTCAAAGTTATGCTACGGTATTTTAGTATGGGGTTACAACCACAGTCATGAACTGCAATAAGATTAATAAATTACAGAAGAAATTTTGAGGATATTTGAAAGTTACACGGGAAGTGTACAAGACCTTCACTCTGAGCCACTTTTTAGAAAACACGGTATACTCAAGGCAAACCCGATTTATGATCTCAAGTTAATGCAACTAATCAAAACTGAGAAACTTTATGATATACATGCAAGTGACGTAGTGCATAGATGCACCTTTCGGCTCCCTTTAAGACGGCCTCCACAGATACGAACAAACTAGGGAAAGCGAACTAAAGTTCATCAGGTGACCAAATTATTAAATTCTATTGGAACCTTCCTGGATTTTAATAACTCATTTTCTAAATTTAAGGAAGAGCTGAGGACAGTCTTGGGCTGCTGGTACACTCTTTTATAGCCATATTTATAGCTGTACTAATTAATGGTTTTGTCTCTGAACTTGTAAAAAACTTCCTTTCTTAATCTATATTACTTCTTGTGATCCTCTCTTAATATTATATAAAGCCATGACATTGTTTGAATCGCTGATGTATACAGCTGCACGAAGTTTATTGTACTGTGTACTGTATGTATGAACTGCAAAGGGAACAGAGACCTTTGTCGGGCGTTTTCTGCCTTCAGTTTCTGTTCCCCTTTCGCCTGAACCGACAGAAATAAAACTTTATACTTCAAACTTAAAAATATCGTCATTCCATCTTTTCCTCTTTCTACCGTGACCTCACAGCTATAAGTTTATCGGATAAATTCGAAGTGATCAAAAGTTTTCTAGAGAGTGTTTATTGGAAGTTTTAGAACTTATCCGAAAACACGGAATTCTACATATGATACATGTTCCTGTTTAAGCGATCCACCAAAGTAAAATGTGCAGCTACAAAGGTAGCTGAAGAGAGACTTAGCACTAGGTAACCAAGTAAATTACCAGACTACACCAGGTGCGGAAGTATTCCCTTCAGGGAAGGGACCCGGCTAACAAAAGCAAATTTCCTAGTACCTCTGCCACGTAAAGCATTCATTTCACTGTACATGATTCATTCAAGCAAAAAAAGAACAACGTTAGTTTATATCGTCGACGTCTGAGCCAGCCATTCAAATGTTCGGGAGGCATTCTTGTCTATATATATGCAGGGCTAATGGTCAGAATTTTCATAAAAGTGATCTCAGACAGACATAAATTCCGTTTGAGCCGGCCCCTGGTTTTCCAATGTTTGAACAGTTGTCTAACTGTTGATTTATCGGTCCCATTCTAAACAAAATAAAATTTGTAAGCTTTGATTAACACTCGATAAAGTTGCATGACGCCTTTTTTCAATTAAACACGACCCCAAAAGTAATGCCGCAGGTAGAATATAGCCCGTTTGCAATACAAGTTATTTTTAGGCCTCATTAATATATGAAATACAAGGTTCTGATACGAGCTTAGAAATAATATTAACTCTAAGAAACCTTCAAGACATTGTGCCACTTTCTGTCCCATTAGCAGGTCTGTACAACTCGAAATATATGTGATACGATAACACAGATACCATGCAGTATGGCTGAATTAATCATTCTTCGAATACTGATTTGATGTAATGTTCGTGGAAAGCATGTTCACCAAACAAATTTGATAACTTTAAGTTCTCACCAAGCAGTGCCACCAAAATGACCGCAGTCCAGACCATCCGGATATGCATGATAGCGTAATCGTATTTTTTCCTTAAACTGGATATTATGCTGAGACGAGATTTGGACAAATATGCCACGCTGGATGTTCTCAAACAGCCGACCGTTTTTGTACAAATGCTTAGAATTTTACATCGATCAAATATGCTATGCGCAATGAAGAACAATGGAGTGGTGCTCTAATATTAGTTACAATTCTATTCATGGTCTTCAAGTGGCAGATGCGTTTTACGGGTGTACCCTGTCGAGCACTTAAGCCACACTTCAACTCGCACCTCTCCGAAAATAGCACATGTCTTGTTAGCCACGCCATTGAGTCTTCCAGCTAAAATGAGGGAAAGGCTTTACAGAGTTATGTCCGAAACCCCAAATTGTTTTGTATTAGCACACAGGTATAATCGAATAGCAGGTGGTTACTTATTAGTTTATTTTATATTTAACGTTAACATAAGGCCAGCTTTATGTGTTCCTTGACTGAGGGCTTGGAAACATAAAAGTTAAGTGTTTTACTGGATTATTACATTCTTCGTTTTAATACGAGATCTTATTGGCAACCGCGCAGACATATTTCCCATAAAGCCTTAAGCACATCTACTTTCATTGCAGAATAATGCCTACAACAACACTACTCCAAAAAAATGGCAAGAAAGTAGTTATATTTCCTATATCTGCAACAAAAAGGAAAGTAGAATAACTCTCTATTACACTAAAGAATCTCCTCGTAAAATACACAGCTAATTTAAAACAATCAGTGTTACTATA